CTTTTCTATGACCAAGGCACATATCTCTTATTTGAGTAAGAAGTAGTAGACTAGCACCAAAACTCATTCTTTTCCAAGTATAGGGTTTGTGCTGGATATTCTCCATTTGCCTCTCCACGTTCACTTTACCAGTGGTGTCCAACCTGAGGCCGGCAGGCCGCATGCAGCCCAAGATGGCTATGAACACACCCCAACACAAAATTGTAAATGTACTTAAAACCTTTTTTTTTGCTCATCAGTTTTCATTAGTGTTTGTGTATTAACGCGTGGCCCAAGACAACTCTGCTACCAGTGTGTCCCAGAAAAGCCAAAATGTTGGACACCCCTGCTAGACCTTTCCTGAGAAAGCTGTCCTCCAGGGACAGCATCACCAGGACTCCCTGACACCCTGACTTCAGGTGGGAGAGCAGAGCTCAGATGAAGAGTTTGTTCCCTGGCCTCAAGATAAGAGTTTGTCTTTCCTGACGGACCTGGTGTGGGAGTGCCTGAGCTCTACTACCTACAGTCATAGCGTCTGCTCGGTACCTCTCCCACAGCTGTGCTTTTTGCCTGGTTCTGTAATCATCCCCCTTCTGGACTGGAGATGGCAAGAGCTTCCATTTGTTAGCCATGGGGAGCTTTACTACTTGTTGCTGTCTGTCCTTAACTCTTCCCTTCTGTTTGTTTGTTAACATTCCCTTCTTCAATAGTCTGTTGGTTAAGTTTCTCAGTTAGCAGTCTCTTCAGTTACCCCTTCAATTCTGCCACTCATCCGTTTTCTCCCAAGGCCCTGACAAAGAGTCATTTCCTGGCTTTGACTCCAATGTGTGCATGTATTCGTTTATATTGGCTATGCATGTAAATTTTGAGGATATATTTGCATAGCTTTCATGCCTGCTGGCTAAGGACTAAGACTTGTAAGTGTCCTCAGGCAAGAAGAACAATTAGTACTTCTACTAATAGTACTTATTTATACGTCTAATCTCAAAACTAATTGTTAATAATTAATTAAGGCCTTTGGCTTCACTGGAAGTTTTAAAATAAGAAAATACTTGCTAAATTTAGCTTCCTAATACTGAATGAAAGACAGTATTCAAATATTTGTGAAATATAATTATATTTTCACTATTTCTTTGATATTAATTTTAGCTATGGGGCAAAATACTAAGTCAACTACAATATAAATTTGGTGGCTAATCTTTGCTAGTATAAGTGTTTTCCAGTATTTAGTCTTTGGCTGTGATCTTGTATGTAATTATATGTTACATAGAAGGGAAAAAATAAGTAACCAAATATTTTAATACATTGAAGTACCATTTTATTTTAACTGCACATTGACTTAACCCCCCAAAACCAGTTTATTGCTAGAACAAACATTTACTGAGCACTTGTTTTGAATAAGCATTGTGTTTAGCAATGTGGGGCATTCAGAAAATTCATGGGGAACACATTCTGGATTCTAGAAGATTCCTTGACAATATCACATGCCCATTAAGCATTGGTTGTAAAGAATCAAACTGAAAACCCTTGTCTCATGATCCAGGTTTAATTTTCCTTTTCATAAAACAGTATCGTAGTCAGCAAGTACTCAGTGCTTGGCCAACCAGGTGTTAGAAGGCAAAATAAAAGCAGTCTTCAGGTAACCCTAATATATTGTTTATTTTTATTCTGGGTAAGTGGTGAAGTTACAGGCTTTAGAGTTCTTTAAAATAAGCCAATAAATAAAAGTTCATATAATATTTCATATCCATATTTGCTATCCATTCAGTTCTCAAAGTATGGGGTAAGAAAACACTGAAGACACATGCATGGCCCTCCATATTTAATTACTTTCTGAAAATATTTAATAAACATGTTAATGAATTACAAGGCCATTTGAAGACTGTTTGTATCACAGACCCTTATATCTCAAATTCCTTCCAAAAACAAAAGCTAGTTTTGACATTATTTGTGGATTTCTAGGCTCATTGTGTGTATCCAAAGAAGACTGGGAGTGGAAATTAAGACAAGTGGATTGGACTGGTCTATTGAGAGAGCCCTTGATAGAAATGCCAAATGAAAGATAACAGAAATGGGGACTACTGACAAATCTTTGACTCAGTCAAATAAGAACCTGGGGGTAAAGCTTATAAAGTTTCCATAACTATTTATGAAAGCTCCATAAAAAGCACTTGCAGCTTTTTAAATGTATCAGTGGAGCTTATTTTTAATTTTTGGCTGGAACCAAGGGAAGTGGGAATGATTTTAGATGTCAGGGGACATGTAAGTACAGAGTTTTGTTTATTCATTTCTTTAGAATCATAAATGTAACCTCCAAACCTGGAATAATATAATTGAAAGGCTAATACATATATGTATGTATATATATGTTAATGTGTGTTTGTACACACACACAAAGGGTAAAAGTTACTTCACTCAATATTCAGTTCCATTGTTTGGCCACAGTTTTAGAGGCTGATGTGGGAATCTAGCATATTCTTTGCAATTCCTATATTTGATTCCTTCAAGTGCATGGCATGGGCTCCTCCACTTGAACCAAACCAAAAGAGTGGCATAAAATTGTTTACTCTTCTGACATATTTGTTGACTACTTCCTCAAAATTATTGAGCTAATACCTTGGGGAAACACTTAATATGTCTAGTTTCTTCATGGTCACCTCTCTCTGGGCTTCAAATCAGTGCTTTGCTTCTTGGTAGCAAAGGTGAAGGGATACCAGAGTAAATTATACTGTTCTCTTATTATACAAAAAAAAAAAAAAAAGGCTACAAATTAGAGCTTCGGGGAGACAAAATTTTTCCTAATAATAAATTCTAAAAAATGTCTATTTAGTGAAAAAAATGTATTTTCTTCCTGAAAATTTAATTTACAAAATTGTCTAGTTAAAAACACCACACTTATTTTCTTACTGAAAATCTAAAAGATTATACAAAATCTTCAACTGATTCCTAAGAAAAGAAATGACCTTACTGACTCTTCATTTGTCACCTCCAGAAACAAGCAGTTTGAATATTTCTTTTATTAAGATGTGTTAGAACGTCATTAATAGGGAAGCTTCATAAATAGGCCATCATTTTTTGAGAAGGATCACACTGTGCTAAATAATGAGATACGGGAATACATTGAACAGCTTGACTTCTGCTGACTTTTACTTAAGAGTGTGAAGTGTTTTAAATTAGACTATGTTAGTATTGATGAAATGTGCACAGGGGGAAAATAATTGAAAGGCTTTGTTCCATTTTGAGAGCTAGATATATTGTATAATTTAAAAATAAAGCACTGTGACCAGGCAGTAAGGAAGCAACAACTCTCACATGCTGTTGAAGATAGAGGAAATGGGGGCAACCTTTTTGGAAGCCGATTTAGTAATAATGTCTGTCAAATTTACAATGCATTTACTCACTGACCTGGCAATTATACATGTGGATTAGAATTGACCTTAGATAAACTAAGGTAAAAGTACACCAAAATAGATGTATAAGAACATTCATGGCAGTATTTTTGAAATAGTAAAATGAGACTATTATAAAAATAATCTAAATATATAACAAAAAAGGAATGGTTAAATTAAATGTCTATTCCTTTAACAAAACACTCTAAGCCAATAAATATAAGGTAATTCTGTATATGCTGATATGGCAAGGATTCCAGGATGGATTAGTAGGCGAATAAGCCAGACACAGACCATTGTAATGTCTCTTTTGGATAACTTAGAAAGCAGAAATATAGATGCTCCTTGACTTAGGATGGGACTACTTCCTGATAAATGCATTGTAAAATGAAAATATATTTAATACATCTAACCTACTGAACTTCATTGCTTAGCCTAGCCTACTTTAAACATGCTCAGGAGACTTACATTAGACTATAGTTGGGCAGAATCACCCAATGCAATGAATACACTGTAGAGTATCCGTTGTTTAAGCAGCAATTTTCAACTCGTCTGCCACAAGCATTTTTAAAGCATGCAATAATTGACTATTTAGTCAGGGGAACTGACCTCTTTTCCCTTAGATTGTCAAATAAAAAAAATAACAATAGCTGTCAGATCGACAAAAAATATGTATTTTTTTCTTGGTGTGCCACAGAATTTTAGTAATTAGTTTATGTGCGCCAGAGATGAAAGAAGTTGAAAGTCGCTGGTTTAGAGTGTGGTGAGGGCAGGGCTGCCTTGGAGCTGCAGGTCTCTGCCACTGCCCAGCATCACAAAAAAATATGGTACCACATTTCTCTAGCCCAGGAAAAAATCATAATCCAAAACTTGAAGTATGGTTTCCATTGAATGTGTATTGCTTTTGCACCATTGTAAAGTTGAAAAATCATATGTCGGGACCACCTGTATCTACATATATAGGTATATGTAGATATCTTGATATTTAAAGTTATGTATTGAAGAATCATATGCATCATACCAATTTTCTGTTTATCTAGATGGTATGGTGAATATTAAACTTTGGCTTTGGCTTAAATGGAGGGGTCCTAGATGGGGATGGATTACTATATGCTTTCCATTTGACAGTTTTCGGTACAATTTGATTTTTTAAATTAGGTACATCTATTTTTTTTAAACATGAGTGTTTTGAAGTGTTACTATTGTTGGTCTTTTATATAATGCAAAAACCCAATAAATAATATTGTATAAAATAATAAAGCACTGTTGTTAGGTCACAGAACATGACAAACTCTACACATGAAGAAGTGTATTGTTAGGAAATAAACTCAAGTTGTCTATGTAATATTCTCCTTGCAAACAAAGTCGGCAGCTGCAGCTGCTTTCCCATGTTGAGAGTGCATCTCTTAGCTGTGTGGCACATAGATCTGCTTGGTGCAGAGCAGTTGGAGACATCATGTCTATCCCCACTTCTGAGCAAGAAAACTTCAAATCAGTTATTACACTTGTTTTCCCAGTCTGTGGTAGGAAAACATACTACAACAGAAAGGTAGTTTTAACACAGCAGACTCTATTCCGGAAGCAATTTCAAAAGGAAACAATAGAATGACTATCGCTCTTTTGAATCTTCAGAACTGCAACTTCTGGTGAGCCCCTCTGTGTGTTTGGACCAGAGCACACAATTCAAGCTGAGTACTTGGAGTCGCCTCTCAAAAACAGTGAAGCCACATGTATGGAAACCGTGGGCCTGGAGACATGAACAGCTGTAAGCTAATCATTTGAATTGTTATATCTGGCATTCATTTTAAGAGACAATTAACAAGAGAAAAGCACTGAACAGATCTTGGGGTTTTCGCAGGTTTGAATTATTAGGTCTCTTTCAAAAATTTTTGACTATCTCATTTTAATAAAAATGCCATCATTGATTTTCTTCCAAACTGAGTCAAACCTCTCCTGCCATAGAATAAACATTTGAGTAGATAGGACTCATATCTAGGAAGTTAATGTAAATAGAATTTAAAAACCTTGAAAATGTGAAACTACTAAAGTTTAACTTCCATCTTGTACACAAATGACATGGCCTTAGTCTATGAGTATAGCTGAAGTAATTTTTTTCCTAATTACTTTTTTAATGGTTCCCAGGATCTAAGAAAGCAGCTTTGTGTACCGCATTATTCAAATTATCTCTAGGGAAATGATTTTGTAAAATAGATAAATTATGGGACTTTAATTATCTTATCCAAGGCACAAAATACTTTTCTCCACCTAATTGTATAATCATTAGGCAGTATTTCCACAGTTAATAGTAATTATTGAAGAATCATATGTATCTTTTGCTTACCTAGCCTTTACAAGCTGAAATAGCATGATCTTCTCATTGATCAAAATTAGGCATTTTGAATATAGAAACATGGTGCAGAAAAGCAAATAGTTATTCATTTTGGTACTATTTATGATGAAAGTACAGTTGTTTCATCATAAAACATTAAACTAGTGTTATTTTTCCTTTGTAAACTAAAGCGTTTTCCTGATATTTCATTCCTTAACTCCTAATTATTTGTGATCAGTGTTATTAGGTAGAAACAAACTAGTGGGGAAAGTATTCTGGTATATTTTTGGCAACCTGTCCACTATTGAGAAACTTAACATCTTTTTTCATCGAAAAAATGGTAAATAAAAGCAGGCAAGAACAGAACAAGAAAATTTCAGGTGTTTCACTGTTCCCTAAGCTGTAATTTATATCACTTTTATTATAATGGTACCATAAGTGACTAATTTAATTTTTTAAATCTTCAAACCTTAATTTATGTACCATTTTCATACCTTTCATTCTTTTTATGAAATATATATATTTTAATGATGTTTATTCTATTACAGTTGTCTGAATTTTTCCCCCTTTGCCCTCCTCCACTCATCCCATCCTCCTCCTCTGCTCCCACAGTCAATTCCCACTCTGTTGTCCATGTCCATGGGTCATTCATACATGTTCTTTGTCTAGTCCCTTCCCCTTCTTTCCACTAGTGTCCTTCCCCTTCCCATCTGGTCACTTTCAATCTGCTCCATGTTTCCTTGCCTGTGGTTTATTTTGTTTGTTAGATTATTTTGTTGAATAGATTCCACTTATAGGTGAGATCATATGGTATTTGTCTTTCACCAGCTTCTTTCACTTAGCATAGTATTCTCCAATTCCATCCATGTTGTCTCAAAAGGTAGGGGTTTCTTCTTTCTTTTCTTTTTTAAATGCAGATTGATTTTTTTTTTTATTTTTTAATGTCAAAATCCATTATAAAATATTAAAAAATTTAAATCCATTATAAAGTCTCAGCAATTAAGCCAACATGACACCAGCACAGAAATAATCAAGTAGATCAATGAAATAAAAATAAAATGAGCATTCTAGAAACAAATGTATATATCTGTCTAACAATGTAATATATGAGTAAATTGATATTTCAGCCAATGGAGAAAATACAGTTTATTCAACAAATAAGGTATATGGGCCACTATTACTTGAAATAAAACAAATATAGAGCTCTATTTCATACATTATACAAAAAGTATTCAGGTGAGTTAAAAATCAATATGTAAAATCCAAGGAGTTTTAGGAGAAAATACAAAATAATATTTTTCTTACCCTGAAGTAAAATATTCAAACCCAGAAGCTATAAAGTAAAATAGTGACAATATGACTATAATAAATGTTAAAGACTATACAGGAATATACATATTAAAAAGGTTAAAGGACAAGTATTAGAATAGGAAAGTATTTGCAGCACATCTAAAAAAGGGTTAATAGTTTCTGGCGGTTTTTTTTTTTAGGGAAAAAATACTACATACCTTTCATCAAAAAATGGATAAAGAATACCAAAAAGTCATTTAAATCTTTTTAAAAATAATAGAAATAGGCAAGAAATATACAAGAACAGGTTTAGTTTCAGCAAATAACAAAGGAACAATTAAAATAACACATCATTGTCACAATCAGATTAATAAGTATTAAAGATGTTGGTAATATCAAGTATTGGTGATTGTAAAAGGACTGGGTATTCATAGACTCTTTTTCTTCATCCTAAAGCAGTCCCTTTAGCATTTCTTGCAATGCTGGTCTGGTGGAAGTGTATTCTTTTTGCCTTCTTTTGTCTGGGAAACTCCTTATTTTGCCTTCCATTTTAACTGAGAGCCTTGCTGGGTAGAGAAATCTTGGTTGCAGGCCTTTGCTTTTCATTTCTTGGAATATTTCTTGCCATTCTCTTCTGGCTTGTAGTGTTTCTGTTGAGAAGTCAGATGCTAGCTGTTTTGGGGCTCCCTATATATGTCACTACCTGTTTCTTCCTTGCTTCTTTTAGGATTTTCTCTTTTGTCTTTGCTATTTACCATTTTAATGATGATGTGTCTTGGAGTGGACCTCATTGAGTTCCTCTTGAAGAAGACCCTCTGTGCTTCTTGGACTAGTGTGACTTTTTCTCTCCTCCAATTAGGGAAGTTTTCCATCATTACTTTTTCAAACAGGTTCTCTATCCCTTCCTTATCCTCTTCTCTTTCTGGTATCCCTATTATATGGATATTATTACATTTCAGGTTGTCCTGCATTTCCCTAAACACCTCTTCATTCTTTTTGAGTCTTTTTTCATTTTCTTGCTCTTTCTGGGAGCTTTTCTCTACCTTATCCTCCAGCTTGCTGATTCGTTCCTCTGCTTCATCTGGCCTGCTTTTGATTCCTTCTGTGTTCTTCAACTCAGAAGGTGTATCCTTCATTTCTTCTTGTCTCTTATTGATAGTTTCTATGTCTTTTTCATGCTGATATAGTTTGCAGTAAGTTCCTTGTAGTCTCACTGTAGTTTTTGGTAATTCTCTTTTTGCTCACTGAGCTCATTGACCTTCCTTAGGACCATTGTTTGGAACTCAATATCTGATAGTTTACTTGCCTCTATTTCATTAGTTCTCTTTCTGGAGATTCCTCCCTTCCCTTCAATTGGAGGGTGTTTTTTGGTCTTCCCATTATTTGTGAGACTCTTCTCTTTTGCTTCTGCTTCTTAAATTGATCTGTTTTGATTTCCCAACTTTGTGGTGTGAACTTCTATGGCAGGAGACTGCTGTTTTTTCTTTCTGTGTCTGTCTCTGATGATGTCAGATGTTGACCCTGTCTGACCATAGGCAGTCTGTTTGAGACTTCCAGGAATCTGCTGTTTGTGGCTGTCCCCTTCAGTTGTTGATCTAGTCACTCTGCACTCAGCAGTCAGGCTTAGACACCACAGGGTGAGGTAGAATCCCTCCTGAGGGTAGGGTTATTGGGTTCTGTCACACTGCTGCCACTCAGGGGAGTGGCCTGTCTGAGTCAGATGGCTGCTGCTGCATGGGGGATGAGTGAGCACTGGGATCCCGCCAGCCACTTTTCCAGGTCCCTCTCCAAAGCCTCCTTCCCTAGTCTCTCCTCAGGTGTCTCTAGCCCACTCTGCCCCCACCTTTGCTGGAGACCAGGGTAGGTGGTTGCAAATAAAAATTTATGCATTGGCCCTTTAAAAGGCTCTTTGCATCTCCAGTTGCCTATTTCTGGCAGAGAGCAACCCTGCGGCTTTTCACAGCTTGTTATCTGTGTACTTTTTGGGCTCTGGTGCTGTAGGCTGGAGATCCCCACCTATGGTTTAGACCCTGCTCTTCTCACGGGCATCGAACTGGCCATTTCAATATACTTCTGGTGCTGCTGCCCATCGGCGCCCCACCCACCTTCTCGAGTCTGTACCGCACTCCTTACCAATTAGGTTGTGCTAAAGCTGATTCTTCTGCCTGTCCAGATTATAAAGCTTCTCTCTTGCTATCTTTCAGTTGTTTATTCCAGGTGATTTCCCCACAATTTAGTTGCAATTCTAGGTTGGTCTTGGGAGGAGGTCAGTGTGACTTCCATTTACTCCTCCACCATCTTGATTCTCGCTATTTTTATACCTTTCTTTCCTTTAAAAAATATTTTGATTAAATCTGCCTGAGTGGAGATCTCATTAATTTGTTCCCTTTTTTTGTACCTGTACATCCCCTGGTAGTGATGTTAATTAACAGTAAAATTGTTTAAGGAAAATCACACACTGAAGGCTGGGTCCAACAAAGGATAGACGAGTGTACAAAGTTTACAGGAATTTACAAATTACATAGTCACCCTATAATGTGGGACATTAACTGTGTTGTTTTATTTTTTAGGGCTCAAACAACAGTTCTTGCTCCACATGAAGCAGTCTTTAGAGCTGAAGATCTATCTGTGATTCTTAAAGCATATGTGTTGGTGACATCTTTAACCCCTTTGCGTGCATTTATTCATTCAACTGGGACAGTTTGGAATCCACCAAAGAAAAAACGCTTCACTGTTAAGGTAAAATTTCCATCAAGCTGTTATTTCACACAAAGTATACTAAGGAGAAGTAAAGTGAGTTGGGCTCCTTTTCTCTAACTTTTATGATTATCAAATCCCATTGAACAAAAATTGCATCATTTTATTGCAGCAAGCAGCAATTTTCATTTAATAGTTATAGTTTCAAAAATGAACTTAAAGCAGCTTAATTCACTAGAGATCACAAAGGCTACATCATTTTTTTCCTGACGTCATCATTTTAGTTTAGTTCTTTGACCTATAACAAAGCTAGTTCTCAACTGTATTCTATTTTTCTTGACTTCTCACTATTCAGGAAAAATATAGTCAATGAAACAAAGAAAAATAGAATAATTTTGCCCTTATGGTTTTGCTTCATTCTTAGGAATCAAAATGCCTATTTCATTACAACAGTACATATGGAATATTTGCTGTGTGAGAAACAAAGCTCTCAACTGATCCTAATATAGTAGTAAGCAATGACATAAAGAATGATAGAAAGTTTTCAGAGAAGGACTTCATAATAACGCAAGAAGTTTAGTTATAAAAAGTTACTCAGGTTAACTGAGTTGAAAAAAAGTTCTAGCGACAATATATTTGATAAATTTTAAGGCATTTTTGATTCTACAGAAATACTTGTTTAGAGGACATATACAAGGTGATTTATCTGGTCAGGATTTCATCCCCTAAACTCTTAGGAAGAAAAGCCCTGGGAGGAGGAACTACCCTCCATTATAACCCATCAAACTTGGGGTTTGATAGAAAAGAGGGTAGAGAAGTGAACATAATTCACATCCTTACCAGGAATGGAGACTGCAGTGGGGTCATGAGGGAGAGGAGGGAGGAAAAATCCCTTCCTCCAGCCTGTGCTCTTAAGCCTCAGCCTACACCCTCCTTAAACTCAAGATGCCCCTATCCACTTCTACCACTGGCCAGAGCAGCTCAAAACAACTTTCAGAATCTCTTTCACACAGGTTTTTATTATTTGTCTCTTTGTTAAATTCGTGCTTCAGTTTCATTTCAGCTATGCTAGTTCATCACCTTGATAAAATACCTGAGGCTTCTAGGTACTCCAAATAGTTTGTTTGAGTTTTATTTCTTTTTCTTTAAACACTACTTCCCCAACCACAGTACCAATGCCTGGTAGAAATGATAAGCATTCTTGTGATAGTTTTTATGAATTTCATAATGTTATATCATGAGGAAAAAAAAGCTTTTTGTGATTTGATTTATTTATATTTTCATGCTCTATTTACTATTTTTTTTCTCATTCCCATCTTTGTTGTATCTGTGGGACAGATAAAAGCTGCAGTTGTAGCACAGGAAAGCACATGGTTCTTGTCATTTTTGTCCTCTCTTTGGGATTTGTCTTTGCAAGATCTTGTCTTGTTATTTTGGACAACACTGTTACCTGCTCTCAAAGGGAAGAAGTAGTGTAGCTTCCTGGGTTAATGTATCAGCAAATGATTATTCCTTGGGAGGTCAAAGTGGTACTTAATGCTGCTGATAGATTTCAGAAACAAAGTAATATTTATTTACCCATCAACTGAAGTACTTATTGCTTCAGTTAAAACAAATAGATTATACTTATCTGTTAAATCAGTACTGTCCTCCAAACACTGATTTCTCTTGATATTTTTAGATATGAGAAAATATATAGAAGTAGCTCTCAGTGCTAATCTGGAAGACAGAACTAAAACCCACTTTAAAGACTCATCATATGACATCAAAGTTTTATTAAATACTGTTCTTAAATGCCACAAAATATCGTGTGTGTGCGTGCATGTGCACGCATGCACTGAGTCCTGAATTCAAAGCCTAAATTACTTAGTTAAATCATTAGTGATTTATTCACTCTGCAGTGAGGCAAGCCCTCTAAACTAGTTATCTGTAGCCATTTATAGAATATTCTGGCAGCTAAAGGAGGTCTGAAAGTAATAACAGATATAACTATGAGCTCATTTATTTCCAATTAGGTTTGCTGCTAGATACTTTATCTGCTAAAGCTTTGGAGAGGCTGAAAAATATCAAGAAGAGCAAATTTGAGAAATAATGAACAGTAGAAATTTGTAAGCTATATTTATAAACCAAGTTTTTCTAAAATCCTCTTCTATAAAATAAAAATAATATAAAATTTAAGTGTTAGATATTTCCAAATGATTTCAAATTTATAAGGGGGAGGAAGATGGAGAAAATGAAAGAAAATTAATAGCAAATGAAACATTTGTTTACTGTATCATTTGATCCATTTTTTTTAGATAGATATCCTTCCCTCCTCATTTTTGTTCTTTACTCAAATGATAGTAAACTATATACACTGAATTGTGCCTTGCTTTTACCACTTAAAGTATATCTTAGAGGTCTTTGCAGTCTTTGCATATTTTTTATATTTTTATTCAATTTACTTAAACAAACAAAGAAAAAACATTTTACTCATTTTTTTCCCCACCCAACCCCTACTGTCCACCTTTGGAAAACACCAGTCTGTTCTCTGTATCTATGAGCTTGTATGTATATATCTATGTATGTATGTATCTATTTTTAGATTCCACATATAAGAAAGATCATATGGTATTTGTCTTTCTGTCTGACTTATTTCATGTAGCATAATGCCTTCAAGATCAAACCATGTTTTGGCAAATATATATATATATACACACACATATATATATATATTTGCCAAATGTACACACACACACACACACACACACACACATAAAATAGTTTTTTTAATTTGCTCATCCATTGATGGGCATTTACATTGCTTTCATATCTTGGCTGTTGTGAATAAAGCTGCAATGAATCTATAGGGTGCACATATCTTTTCAAATTAATGTTTTTCTTTTCTTCAGATAAATTACCAAGAATTGTAAGCAGGATCATATGATAGTTCTATTTTTAATTTTTTGAGGACTATCCATACTGTTTTCCCCAGTGGCTGAAACAATTTACATTGTCACCAACATTATACAAGTGTTCTCTTTTCTCTACATCCTCACTCTTGTTATATCTTATCTTTTGATAATGGCCATTCTAACAGATGTGAGGTGATATCTTGCTGTGGGTTTGATTTGCATTTCCGAAAGATTAACGATGTGGAGCATCTTTTCATGTGCCATTTTATGTACAGAACTTTTTGCTAAGGCAATGTCATTTTCTTGGTAAATATAATACATACAATGTAAGTGATATTTTATTCAAAAATTTCTTTCTCTAGAAAGTTCTCAATTTAATTATGAAACACTTCAGTTATGGCTCTGAATTTACAACTCTTTCCTAACCATTCTAACTATACCTTTTGGTCAAACGCATTCATGGCTGTCTTTATACACAGGTCACATAGATTAACTGCAAGAAATGTCACCAATTGAAATTTGGTTCTTAGAGTAAAAGTCACAGGTCATTCCTTCATCCATTGTACAATTATCCAGTAGAGAGGAAACTTTCATATCTGTAACTAGTTTTTGACATCTGAAGATTCTTTATACCTGTGATCATAGCTGACTGCTTTGATGAAAATGTATTGCTGGAGTGATTTGTGACTTCTGACAGAAAGAACTGTGAGAAGCCTTATTTTATCTAGTTGAGACATAAATGAATTCATAGTTTGATCAACCATCCCACACTGAAAGATGTTCATTTGATGATATTCAGTGTTCAAAAGTTGTATGAAGATGATTCCTTGAATGCAATCAGCTCTCGATAAATGTGTCTTGGATTGAGTTCAGCTGAAAATCATTTTTAAAAAATTTAACTGTGTGAATAATTTGCCTAAGTCTGTTTAATCTTTGTCTAATTCACCCCCTGTATTTTACAATGATTTTCCAGTGCTTTTTCAGTAAATGCATTAGAAAGATGTCATAGTCTGAATGTATTAGAAGGGCCACTTTGACAGAAAGGGGGAATCATGAGACATTGCAGAGTTTTCTCCACTTGGTATCTGTGAGAATCGTCTCCATTGGAAACCCAAGTTAAAGCAGGCTCCTGCCCAATCGGGGGCTCTGAATCATCAGCTGTCCACCACCACTGCTTTGGCCTTTGGGGGACCATTCTTCTATTTCCAGTGCCTGCAGTGCCGCTCACATCGATGCGATCAGCAAATGTACATAGAGGAGAGTGAACCTTGGCAAAGCGGGAAATGTTATTATTTACAAGGACCCTTTTTAAAGAATGCATATATCTCCTATTCAGTTTTGGAAACTTGATGTGTTGCAGGGATGAAGTTAGCCTCATTTGTCGTCAATATTTCTGCAGTGCCTTTCATCATGTCAGGTGAGATAGCTCATACATTCCCAGGGTAAAAATGAGTAATGTCTTTGGAAGCAAGTATAAAGTTACAGTATGGTTTTCAGCCTTAGAAAGTGTTCTCCCAATCTTCATTTTACATCTAAAACAGCAGATCGTGGAACAGACCTTGTAAAAGATGTTTTCACTGAGCATCTGGCCCTTCTGCAGGCCAGGGAGATTTATATCAGATGTAGAAAGTATGTGAATAAAAGCCTGCTCCTGGGAGTTTGTAAAATGAGTTGATGTATTACTTAATCTACTCTTGGGTTAAATTTAAAAATTGGGCCAGGGTGTTCATTTTAAAAACATGATTTTATATAAATAAAAATTATAGATAAACAGCATAAAATTAAATAAATAAACAGATGGGTAAAGCTGACTTAGAGAAAAATCAAAATAATAATTGCAAAAAAGCAGTTATCTCACCCCCCCACATTGGCATTAAATATTATTTTAGATATATGTTTGCTCTGGAAAAAGAAAAACTGTTTTGCAACTGCACATGATTTTAGAGTGCATCCCAAAAATGCAAAATAATTTTATACTGTTAATAGGATATTTGTCTCTTGTTTTGAAAAATTTTATTCATTCATTCATTTTATTCATTCTCAACTTTGTGCCATTAAAGGTTTGTCAGTTAATTTTGTGTATTTTTTAAATTTTTAATACTGAACATCAATTGTTATCTTACATAGGAAGAAAATTATTCATTACTT